CACACACACACACACACACACACACACACACACACACACACACACACCCTGAAGATGCAGATTCTGCAGGTCATTTGGGTCTGTGCTCAAACGTCACCTTATCAGTAAGGACCTCCCAGAACGCATTAGCAGGTCTCAATCCCTGGCCCCTGGCTTTCTTTTTCTTTATAGCATTTATCACCATTTGATAAATTTTATGTTTTGCTTGTTTGTTTCATTATTGTCTGTCTGCCCCTTTCTAGAATGGAAGCTTCATGAGTAGAACTATTCTACTTGTGCTTTCCCTGGCATCTGGAAATGCCTGCCTCACAGGAGATGCTTAATAAAAATTCATCGAATGACAAACTATTCGCTTTCCCAGCCTCCCCCGAACAACATGGGAACATAACCCAGGCCATGCTAATTAGAAGTACTCAGCCCAGAACTCTGACTCTTAGGTAATGACTTAATCTATTCTGGCACAAGTGGAAGCAGAGGAGCCAGCTACTGCCAGTGTCCTGGAGCGACAGCTTTGATGCCATTGTCCAGCCCCTGTCCAGTGTCACTGTGTTAGCACTGCAACTGCAGCGACTGTGCCTGCTGGTGTTTTCACTGGACCAGATCTGGGACAGACTTTGAGGTGAGGTTTCTTGCCTGTGTAGCTTCTAAGCCTAGTGTCTAGCCTTACCAGGAAGTTCTGAGAATCACCCAGTACCTTTTTAATAAAAATCCCTTTTCTGCTATAAATTCTTTTTTAAGTTTAAAAAATAGGCTTTGGAGTTAGATTGCCTGAGGTCAAATACCAGCCTTATCACTGAGCAGTTAGTAAAGTTGGCTAAACCAAGAAACTGCCCTGAGCTTGTTCCCACATTTCTAAGTAGGTAAAATCCGAGTACTACCTCATAGGATTGTGGTGAGGGTCGCCTGTGAAGTGCCCCAGGACGTAGTTTGAACCCTGGCAACCCTAGGTTATATAAGGTCAACAGAAGTGTTTTGTTTGACAGACAGTATTGTTTTTAACTGATTGCTAACACTTAAAGGGGCATTGCATAAAAATTCTGGATTTACAACTTCTCTTGAAAAATCAGCAACTCTGGCAACACTGTAACCACATTCCTACTTGCAACTAGATAGAGCTGAAAAGTCTCGCTCCTGTGCAGGAGGCAGGAACCCACCTGCCTGATTCACTCTTGTTTACCTGCCTACTCTCTTCTGTAGGGCTTTGGGTATGTAGCCCTGCACTAGGAATATAAAGATTTTCCAAAGTTGCAAAATTATGAAGTTTGGCTAAATTGTCTCTAAGAACTTTTCTAGACTGATTTGGTTTTCTGTTGACACACAGTAATTCTAAAATTTAGTGGAATTTATTCCCAGACAGCCATTTTATTATCTTTAATGTTTCTTTGGGTTGACTGGGTTTAGCTGGGCAGTTCTCTGCTCCATATGACATTGGTTGAGACTGTAGTCATTTGGGGGTGCCACTGGATTGGGACACTCAAGATGGCTCACTGAACATGATCATTCATGCTGTCAGCTGAGAGGTCAGCTTGGCGTATTTCAGGACTCTTCATGGGCCGTGGGGTTTTCACAGCATAGTAGTTAGAAGCAGATTGTGAAAGTTGCCAGTTTTAAGGCCTGGGACTCCAGAGAAGTCCCAGAACATTCTATTTTAGTTAAATCTGGTCACAAAGCCAGCCTAAGCTGGCTTTCAAGTGTGGGAGGGGTGAGTAGAATGAGTAATAAGCTTCACCTCTTGATGTAAGAAGCATCATATGTATGAAAGGGGAAGATCTTGAGGGGCCATCTTTGGTGACTAGTGGCTACATAGAGCTAACATTTTATGATTATCTATTTACTCTTGCTTTAGTGTAAAAATGGAAGAAAAGAGTCTCTCTGCAGTTCAGTAAAAAGGAACTCAGAATTATGTCTTATTGCCCCTTATCATAACGTATCAACAGTTATTGAAAACCTACTTCCAATTAATTCTCCCACTTCCTCAGAGCTGGCTTAAATTTGCTACATCTTAGAAAGTTGGATAAACAAATTTCTACTAAGGGGAAAATAGCTGACAGCATTCTTCTTAACTCCCTGCATATTTGCCTTTTAAATATCAGACACTTGTGAATTACAGGGTGATAAAATGAATATTTTATGAGTGTGACAGGGAGAGATCAATTCATTCACATTAAGTCATACTGGTTTACTCTTGAGTTGATTCTGGAAGTATCAGGATTCCAGCCCACGTGAAAAATTGATCAAAGTTGGCACAGCTAGAGCTGGTGAACCCTGAGACGGACCTATGAAGAGAGCCCCATGAGAATGGGGAGTCCGGAGTCTGTGCAGTTGCATCTTGGCTTGTGAGGAAGATGATGAAGCTGAGACATAGGTGATATAGCTCGTAAAAGGTAGGATTACATAGAGAATCTAGAGGAGCCCACAGGAGGTGAAGTGAATCATTTTAACTTTGCCATGCTGACCATAAGGGCCTGGAGAAGTGTCTGACCTAGACTTCCCGAGGAAACTTGAAGCCCAAAAGGTAAATAGGAGTATTAATGCGAATGGTTAAGATTCAGGCAAAGGGAATAACACAAAATGTGGAGAGGGGGGCTTGCCTGGTCCTGGAAGATCCCACATGCTGCAGAGCAACTAAGCCCGTGTGCCACAACTACTGAGCCTGTGCTCTAGAGCCCGCGAGCCACAACTACTGAGCCCGTGTGCCACAACTACTGAGCCTGCACTCTAGACCCCATGAACCACAACTACTGAGCCCGTGTGCCATAACTACTGAGCCTGCACTCTAGAGCCTGCGAGCCACAACTACTGAGCCCACGAGCCACAACTACTGAAGCCCACGCGCCTAGAGCCCGTGCTCCACAAGAAAAGCCACCGCAATGAAAGCCCGCGCACCGCAACGAAGAGTAGCCTCCGCTCGCCGCAACTAGAGAAAGACCGCATGCAGCAACAAAGACGCAATGCAGCCAAAAACAAATAAAATTAATTAAATAAATCTATTTAAAAAATGTGGAGAGGAAGACAGAGAAGTTCGGCTACACTGAGCAGAGGGTGAGAGGAGATGAAGGTTAAGACACAGGCAAGGGTCAATTTAGGTAGGGTCCAGTGGTCTGAAATTTACCTTACGGGCAACGGGGAGCCACTGCGAGATTTTAAGCAAGGGGTTAGTCCGCTGAGACTCAGAAGTGACTTGTCCAATTTATTCAAATAGGAAAAGAAACAGAAAATTAACTCCTAATTGTTTATACTTAACTAATTCCTAGTGAATTAACTAATTCTAATTCCCTGCTATCCCATGTTTACCACTAACCTGCCAATTCAGAAGGCAAGATAACCGTTTCTAACTGGCCACTTGCTCTGCGGAAATGGCCTGTGTTTCAACCGGAAATAAAATGACCGCTACGCACGCCCCCTAATGGCAGGATGCAGCCAAGCCAAGTCCGGAAAGCCGCAACACCGGAAGGGGCCGGCTGTTTCCGGTGAAAACCCAACGAAACACAAGCTCAGCGGGCGAATCTGGGAGATTCGGCTAGCGTGCCCAGTGCACTCGGCTCCGCGACGTCGTATGCGCGCTTTTGCGCAGGCGCAGCAGCTACCGCGTAGGAAACGCGTACGCAAAACCGTGCGCGTGCCCGATCTCCGTCCGGCGCATCGGTGCTGCTTCGAGGGTAAAACCTTTGGAGCTGTGAGGCGGATATTTGTTCTCTTAACTACAACTCCCAGCATGCTTCGCACCTCATTAATGGTACTAAGCGTAGTTTCCTAGGATAGGTTAAAAAGAAGCTGAGATGACGATGACGTACCAAGGAGGAAAAAAATTGAATACGCTGTTTGAGCACATTATTCACCGAAGCCCCAGTGGCCTAATGGATAAGGCATTGGCCTCCTAAGCCAGGGATTGTGGGTTCGAGTCCCATCTGGGGTGACTATACTTTTGCCTTTAAAATAATAAAACTTTTTACCTTTCCTCCTTCTTAAACAATTATAGCGAAAAATACTAACTTAATTTTACTCTTTAAAGATGGAAAATGTATGCGTGGTTTTTCTAGGTGTGAGGCTACAGTTTGCGAGAATCAACATACTCCCATTCCCTTCTTCTGAGCCGTAACCCCATTAAGATTTCTGCTAAGTCAGTACGTTGAATTTTGACATCCCCTCTAGACATAAAATCTTCTCAAAGTTTTCTATTTCAAATTGACACCCACTTCCGACATGCCCTCATTTTCTTCAGAGTCAATGGTCTGTCACCGAATGGCGTCTGAAATGACGCAGTCAGGAAAGGAACTAGGACCTTCTTTTCCCTTGCCCGGCCTGTCTCCAGGCTCTTCAGTTACACTCGGCTTTCGTTTGCTTTTGTCTTAACACCTTAGGACGCCGCTCGGTGTTCGATTAATAACGCTCCGCAAAGAAGGGAAGTGAGACATTCCACTGTCCTGCAGTCGATAGGGGGAGCCGGCAGTCTGGTTCCGACCGTACCATTAAGCGGCTGAGCAAGGGGGTGGTGAGGGAGTAAGAGGGGAGTAGGGCGCCGTCCCGCGCCAAGCTCGGACGACGGGAAAATGGCGGCCTTGGGGTCACCGCTGCGTACTTGGCGAGGCCTTCTCCGAGAGTTGCGCTACTTGAACGCGGCCACAGGCCGACCCTATCGCCACACCCCGGCCTATCGGTACCTCGTGAAGGCTTTCCGTGCACATCGGGTACGGAAGCCCGTGTCCGGGGGCTCCAGCGTCCCTTTCCCGGGAAGGGAGGGAGAGTCGGGTCTGGGCAGGGTGGAGCGCGCCTGGCCTTAGCCCTCATTTCTGAGGCTCTGGTTCCCTCCAAACAGATCGAGGACCGGCGGGAAGGCAAAGTCATCCTGGGGTGGAGCCGTCCCTGAGGATTTCATTGGCTGTCTTTGGCCTGTGTGGAGGGGAAAGTGAGAAGGAAGTGAAATGGCGGAAATAGAGAGGGACAAGAAAAAAGATGTCCTTGGTGGAGAGTGTAGAGTCCCAGGCCACAGCATCTACCCAACACTCTCCTTCCCGGAGGAGAGCTATTCTAGGAACCGGTTTTTGATGCAGAGAGGAAATATTGGGCGCTTCTTGAAGAGCAGGACTACGCCGCTTCGGGGAATGGTGCCTTGCAGAGCTGAACTAGAAACCTCTAATGAGGTGGTACTGTGAGTTACAACATTAACGCGATATGTGACCAGACAACAGTTTTTCCGCCTGTAGTAGATAAATATGTACATATGGGAGGCCGTCATTCTTGGAAAATCCCTTTGTGAAATCCGCACTCCTTCTACCCCTTAGGCAAGATCGGATGGAAGATAGTTTCTTTCTTCAAAAGGGGCAACTGAGGCTCGGGGACAGTTGACCTGTACAAGCACATGTATAGGAACAGCTAGGCTCTAGGTTACTTGGTTCCCAAATAAGAGTCTTCCATTTAATTGCTGACTCTAGAGTTCCTGATCTGGCTTGGAAAGACGTTGCAGCCTTTCTCAGAAATATAAATTGGAGAGTCAGCTTGGGCTTTAGCAAAGGAAACTTAGCGTCTTTTGAGCAGTGTGGGAAAGGGGAGAACCGTCATCCTAACTCTTGATTTTCTGAACCATGGAAGTTAGAATGCAAAATGTTGGAACTAAACTTCAACTAATTTTTTTATTTTTTTTTTTGCGGTATGCGGGCCTCTCACTGCTGTGGCCCTTCCCGCCGCGGAGCACAGGCCCTGGACGCGCAGGCCCAGCGGCCATGGCTCACGGGCCCAGCCGCTCCGCGGCATGTGGGATCTTCCCGGACCGGGGCACGAACCCGTAGCCCCTCCATCAGCAGGCGGATTCTCAACCACTGCGCCACCAGGGAAGCCCTCAACTAATTTTTAAAAGGTCACAATATTAGGGACTGTTAGGAACTTGGCTAACAACGACGAATAAGAGCCACATGGGTGCTGTCTTTTAAGAAGCTTACAATCCACCCGAGGAGCCATATAACCAAGGACTTAGAATAAACAAGTGCTAAGGGAGTAAATAGACAACAGGGGTCCTGGCATACAGAAGGGGTAGGCTTTCAGGAGGAAATTCATTAACCAGGGACTTGAAGAATAAATTCGAGTTAGCAAGTAAATGGGGGTTGGGGAAGATGAGGTCCAAGTAAAGAAGGTGCATAACTGAAAGCCCAGAGGTGGAGGAACTGACAGGTGAGAGCTGCTAAGGTTTAGGATGTGGTGGATGACGTGGAGGAAGTTGAGGTAGGTGGTAGGCAGCAATTTAAACTTTATTGGAAATGTAATGGGAAGTCACTCTTAAGATTTTTAAGGTGACATGATTATAGTTGTACCTAATGGAGGCAACATTATTGCCCTTGAGAAGGCCTTGGTAATGGCTCTGAAATTCCTTGGAAATACACCTGAAATTCATGCTAAAAATTCCAGAAACACCACTCTGTGAAATGCATATGAGGATATGGGGAAGGGTTCTATTTCCTGCTGGCTCAGAGCTAACTCAATAATCTATGCCCATTTTCTCTCTCCTCTCCGTATGCTGAAGGGATTCAGTTAGGGAGGGATCTCCCCTTTCTCCATAGAGAAAATACAATTTTCTATTTCATTAGATCTCTTGGTCTCTTGTGGTTCATTTACTATGTAATATTGCTGATGCTTCTCTCCTGACTCCTCTGACTCAGGCTGAATCAAGATCAGTTACGTTCTGTCCTATACTAACATAGAATTCCTGTTTCAAATTCTATCAATTTAGACTTATATAATAGAAATGAATGTTACCCTTTGTTGATGCTTGACATTAGTGTTGGTCACTCATAAATTTTTAATTATAAAAAGTTAAATTGATTAAAGCAGATGAATTTTATTTTTGAGCAGCTTATAGGTGCCATTTTCATATATGTGATCTGCAAATCTTAAAGCACACATTCTAGTTTTCAGATTCCAAACCTAGATATTCAAGTAAAGAAAGGTCAAAGAGAGACATGTAGGCAGTGGTGCCCAAAGATTAATCCACACTTGAACAGGGCTCCTTAAGTCATTTGAGGCTATGCACACATCTTTGTCTTACCTTTCCTGCCCCTTTCTCACAGCCTCAGAACATAAAACTAGTCAAGTAAAGTCTGTGTACTAATTTAATCTGGAAGTTAATTATGATGAAGAAAAAACAAAGTTTGTAGTCACTTTGGAATGGATATGACATTTCCAGCTTCTAAAGGTCATCAGAATACAGATTTTTCAGATGAATAAGTAAATTGTGAGAGCGAGTATAATTAAGTAGTATGAACATATGCATATTACTTTTATTTATAAAACCTTCATTTTGTTACTGGTGAGGACAAAGCTATTTTTCAGAAAAATAAGTTTTTAATTTTCATTGAAATGAAAGGCATATGCCATATTAACCGAAGTCCACAGTCACATAAAATAAAGCAGCCCTTCATTTGTTTGAAGGGGAGAAAGTTCTGTATTTTATTCCTTAGGTGACGTTAATGATCAGTGACCTGACTATATTCCCCATCTCTGCCATTAACCAACCATAGAGCCTCTCTGGGCTTTAGTTCCCTCATTCGTTAAATGAGGGTGTTGAACCAAGAGATAAACTTTTTTCCAGTATTAAAATTTGAGGACATGATGAAATGCTTCAGTGAAACTCTTTGTAAAATTCCTCTTTCATTAACAGGTGCCAGCTTTCCTAATCATCAACAGTTACAGAGTGCCTCTATATATGTACAGAGTGCCTCTATATATGTACAGAGTGCCTTTATATATGTTATTAAGTATACACAAACACATGTTTGTATGTCCTCTGCATTTACTTTCATTCTAGAGAATGCTTGTTTAATAAAACTTTCTCTGTGGACCTGTATCTGCAGCTGGGCTGTTAATAGAATATCTGACCTTGCTACTTCTCCAGGTCACCAGTGAGAAGTTGTGCAGAGCCCAGCATGAGCTTCATTTCCAAGCTGCCACCTATCTCTGCCTTCTGCGCAGCATCCGAGAACATGTGGCCCTTCACCAGGAATTTCATGGCAAGGGTGAGCGCTCAGTGGAGGAGTCGGCTGGCTTAGTGGGTCTCAAGTTGCCCCAACAGCCTGGAGGGAAGGGCTGGGAGCCATGAAAATGGAGAGATTCCTTGGATGCTGCCTTCATACAAGAATTTAATAATTTCTATCAATATGTATTTATCATTAAATTTTTTTTAAAGTTTAGGGGTTTTCTCTGAAATTTTGTTGACTGAATTTCTCTGAAATTTTGTTGACTGAGGTTTTCTTAGGGAGGTTTCATCTTTACTCTCAGTGAATTTTCTGAAGTTCCTACACTAGGCTGCTTGATGTTCTTGATTTACTTTTAAAACTCTTTAGTTTTCTTTTTAATTTAAAAAGTAATACAGCCTATTAAGGAATTCAAATGGTACAGACATAAAATAAAGCCCTCTTACCTTTTCCCTTGTCCCTCCCTCCCCTCTCCCAACCCCATTACCAGGTGGTAACGATTACTAACAGTTTGGTGGGCATGTTTCTAGATGTTTCCTATGCATAAACAAACAATTATACATATATACCTTTTATCTAAGTGCACAAATATGATGTTAAGGTCCTGGTAGGAAACAGATGGCACACTCATACAGGGTTACTGAGGAGAGTTAATGAAGGGATATTTATAAAGATGTGGGTTGAATTAAGGTCAACAAGACAGTGGGGGGCTGTTATCTCCCAAGCCTGACAGAGTTGACCCTTAGGTATAAGAACATGGCCACCACTCATCTGCAGGCTGCAGGAAGGCCAGGGAGAGGGCAATGGAATGAGCACACTGACCGCTCCGCTTCTGCCGTCTACCTTCCATGTCAAATTGCTCTTCCTTCTGAATTCTGTCTCAGGGTGAAGGGCTCCATAATGCACTTGGCTGACCAAGTCAAGAACTTGGGCTTCATTCTGTATTTCTCTTTCTCTTCACTCTCCAGATCTAGTCAGTAAGTTCTGCTTTTGCAAGAACTGTTAGCATCACTGTCTCTGTCCTAGTTGAAGCACTGGAAATCTTTTGGCTGAACTATTAAACTAGACTCATAAGTGGTCCCCTTGCCTCTAAAGCCCTAAATGCCACAAATAAAAATTCTCTGTGAACTACCAATAGTTCTTTATCTGTGCCCCCTTTGTGGTATATGTCAGTTTCTTCTGGTATTATAATTGTAGACGTATAATCTCTTTTTCCCTGGACTGTCAGCTCCTTTAGAGTAAGGATGCTGTCTCATTCATTTTTGTAGTCTATAAAGCGTCTTCCACAGTGACCTACATAGACAATTATTCAGTCAGTGTTTTGAATGCAAGGCTCAGTTCTACTCACTAGGAGAACAATCTGAACAAAAATACTCCAAGCACTTCAAAACATCATCTCTTCTAAGAGATTAACATTAGAATAATAGTATTATGAGGTCAAAACAAGCATTTGTTCAATTGAACTGATCAAAAAAATAAAAATGTTTAACATACTATTTCCCCCTGTGTTATTTCATGGACATGGGTATATTATTATCTGAAGATGTTTTACTTTGCTAAGATGAAGAAAGCAAAAGGATTAGGATAGATTGATGTTTTGATTCCTTTAGTTAAAATATTGTGTGTATAACAAATAACTTTTTTTCTGGCCAAGCCGAGCAGCTTGTGGGATCTTAGTTCCCCGAATAGGGACTGAACCCAGGCCACAGCAGTGAAAGCGCTGAGTCCTAGCCACTGGACTGCCAGGGAATTCCCATAACGTTTTTAAAGAAAGAGATTTGAGGCAGAACTGCCGAAAAGGGAGTTCTGAGAAATACTTAACGGGCTTGCAGTCATATAGACCTAGGCTTTAATCCCATCTTTATCATTTACCAGCTGTGTGATCTTGGGTAGGTTAGTTGTCCTGAGCTTGTTCCCTCTTCTGTAGAATGAGAATGCCAACAAGGTGGTTGTAATAAGTGAGAATAATGTTTACATAAAACATTTGCACAGTACATAAGTGCCTGACAAAAAAGAAAAACTTGTTTTCTTCTTAAACCACCGCACCCTTATTCTTTCATCATGAACCCTTCCTCTAAGCCCTATTGCCACCAGTCTTCTGAAATACAGACAACTTATTTCCCATGGTTTAAATGATTTGCTCAGGCCATTTCTGTCCTTATATAATAACCTGGACCTCCTATCAATGGTCTTACCATCCAAAATTAGGTGAACTCAATGTTGGAAATAGACGGAATTGACTCTGTATTAGTGATAAACTTTCTATACTGGGAATGTCCTAAAAGTAGGGACTACTGAGGTTTTGGCACTGTGTTAACTCACTATAGTTTTTGATGTGGTACATGCTTTATCACATTCCTTTGCTGTCTGTTTTTCTCTTCTGACTGTCCTTTAACTTCAGCTGCTTCCTCTCACTGAATTCTATTAGTATTTAAATATGCTCAAGCCTCTTCCATCTAAAAACAACTATAGTTGACCCTTGAGCAATTTGGGGGATTAAGGGCACCAATCCTCCACAGAGTCAAAACTCTGAGTTTAATTTATAGTCTGACTTCCGCGGTTCTGCATCTGCAGATTCAACCAACTGCGGGTCGGGTAGTACTTTGGTATTTATTTATTTATTTATTTATTTATTTTTTTGCGGTACGCGGGCTTCTCACTGTTGTGGCCTCTCCCTGTGGAGCACAGGCTCCGGACGCACAGGCTCAGTGGCCGTGGCTCACAGGCCCAGCCGCTCCACGGCATGTGGGATCCTCCCGGACCGGGGCACGAACCCATGTCCCCTGCATCGGCAGGCGGACTCTCAATCACTGCGCCACCAGGGAAGCCCTACTTTGGTATTTATTATTGAAAAAATCCACGTATAAGTGGACCAGCACAGTTCAAACACATGTTGTTCAAGGGTCAGTTGTACTCAGCTTTAACTCAAATATCTTTTCAGCTCCTATCTTCTAACTCATTCCTCTTTGCAAACAAATTGAATGTATTCAATGAATTGAATGAATTTATTCAGTGAATTGAGTGAATTTTCATTTTCTACATTTTTTTTTAAAGTCTTTATTGAATTTGTTACAATATTGCTTCTGTTTTATGTTTTGGTTTTTTGGCCGCGAGGCATGTGGGACCTTAACTCCCCGACCAGGGATAGAACCCGCACCCCCTTCATTGGAAGGCAAAGTCTTTTTTTTTTAATGTTTATTTATTTATTTATTTTCTTATTAGTCATCTTGGAAGGCAAAGTCTTAACCACTGGACCGCCAGGGAAGTCCCCACATTTTTTAAACTTATATTGAGGTATAATGTACATATAATAAATATACAGGTGAATGAATAATGACAAATGAATGCATCTGTGTAATAACCACACCAATAAAGCTATAGAACATTTTCATTGCACCCCAAAAGTTCCCTTGTGCCCATTTGCAGACAACCCCCCTTCCCCACACCTGGTCCTAGGCAACCACTGACCTCCTTGCTGTAATCATAGATTAGTTTGGCCTGTTCAAGTATTTCCTCCAAATGCAGTCATATAGTATTTACTCTTTTGAGTTGGCTTCTTTTGCTCAGCGTACAGATTTTGAGGTTAATAATCCATGTTGTTTCATGTACCCATTTTATGCATTTTTCATGACCATTTATTCTTTTTTTTTTTTTTTTTTTTTTTGTACGCGGGCCTCTCCGGTTGCGGAGCACAGGCTCCGGACGCGCAGGCTCAGCGGCCATGGCTCACGGACCCAGCCGCTCCGCGGCATGTGGGATCTTCCCGGACCGGGGCACGAACCCGTGCTCCCTGCATCGGCAGGCGGACTCACAACCACTGCGCCACCAGGGAAGCCCATGACCATTCATTCTTAATCCACTGCAGTCTGGTTTTTCGCCCTCTATTAGAACTGCCTTGCAAATTTACAAATGACCTTCATGCCACTAAACCCAATGGATCATTCCTTCTCTTGCTGACTCGTAGGGAGTATTTGCCACTGTTAACCTTTCCTTCCTTTTCTCTTGGCTTTCATGATACATTCTCTGCTTTCTTCTCTCATTGTAGCCATTTGTCTTTAGTTTCCTCTTCTGTGTATCGCTTATATGTTGGTGTTCCTCATGTTCAGACCTAGGTCCTTATCTCACACTCTACATGCTTTCCCTCGGTGATCACCTACATTCCAAGGCTTTAATTATCATCAACAGGCTAACTCCAGTCCAGCCCCCCCTGCCAAGCTATAGACCCGTCCAGCGGCCAGACACCACCACTTAGGTGACTCAAAGGCATCTCAAATTCAGTGCATCGGGCTTCCCTGGTGGCGCAGTGGTTGGGAGTCTGCCTGCCGATGCGGGGGGCGCGGGTTCGTGCCCCGGTCCGGGAGGGTCCCGCGTGCCGCGGAGCGGCTGGGCCTGCGCGTCTGGAGCCTGTGCTCCGCGGCGGGGGGGCCGCAGCGGTGGGAGGCCCGCGTACCGCAAAAAAAAAAAAAAAAAAAAAAAGAAAATTCAGTGCATCTAAAATGGAAACTCCTCATTCCCCCATAAAATCCCTGGTGTTCCCTGTTAGTTCATTGACATTCTCACTTAGCCACTTAAGTCGGAAATCTGAGTTATTCGAGACTGCTTCCTTTTCTTCACATCCTCAGCTAAATAATCGCTAAATTAGATTTTACCTCCTAAGAATCTTGACTCGCTATTGCTGCTACCCTAGCGCAGACCTCTTATCTCCTGCATCTCTTCTCTGAACCACTGCCCTCCCTAATTGGTCTCGTTAAATCCAAATTGTGCTCTTCAATCAATCCATATTCCACTATGTACAGATCTGATCTTGTCTCTCTCCAGCTTACAACCCTTCAAGTTAAACTTTAACAAGGGCCTGCAGGATCTGGCCCTTGCAAAATATCTTGAGCCACATCTCTACTCCCCTTACATTTGACAGTCTAGCCATACCGAAATTTGGTTCTAGGAGCCATGGCTTTCTTTCAACATTCTGCTGCGTGTGGCTTGCGGGATGTTAGTTCCCTGACCAGGGCTCAAACCCACGCCCGCTGCAGTGAAAGTGTGGAGTCCTAACCACAGGACCATAAGGGAAGTCCCCCAGAATTTGAATTTTTTAATCTACATTTAAATTAACAGGAACCATGTTTATAAAATTTGATGTTAGGTATGTACTCATGCCCCAACGATAATTGCAGTATTAAATTTTACTATATAGCCTTTATTTATTTACTATATTAGTT